AATGTGCTGTAAAAATACAAAATATTAGTTTTGATATGATGTGGAGAAAAACTATATAAGGCTATTTTTTAGAGATATCATTTTCCTCTAAGAAATATTCCAAGTACAATTAAAACAAAATAAAAATCTGAAGAATATTTCAACTGTTTTTGTCTGTACAATGAAAGTAAGTGGGGTCCAAAACAACACTGTGGGCATTGGACATTTTTCAAAATATCTTCTTTTGTGTTCCACAAAACAGATTCTTACAGGAATGACATGAGAGTGAAAAAAATTATGGCAGAATTTTTTTTTTTTGGCGAAAAGAACAACCTCTAAAGAAAAAAAAAACCCTCCTTGTTCATTTGAACTGTCTATGTTTATTCTAACTATTCTATTATTGTAATATGTTTTATATTACTGCAATATGTTTTCCTTCATCATGTACTTTAAGTATTAAAATGATGAAGTCTTTATTACTATTTCATTTTTAAGGAACTTGAATTTTTTTTCTTTATTTGCAGTGTGCAACTGTTTCTCGCAGCGTGTCTCGGGAGGAACAATGGAGCGGTAGCGTATGTGATGCTGGCTGCAATTTCACAGACGTTAGCATAGGCAGCACATTTGTGAATTTATTGACGGAGATGGGGAGTTGGCTGAATTTGCAGGTGGCATGCTGAAACTTGTCCATCAGGCTGTCAGACTCGTCATTATCACTTAGGCCGCCGAGCCTGCCCGAACGTGCGCCTTTCCAATGCTCACCTTCCTCCAGCCCATCATCTTATTCCACCGTACGCTGTGTCTACACTGCAGGCGAGCGATGCAGCGCTGCCAGTGTAATCAAGCAAGCCGTCTACAAACCAAATGCGTGTTCCCTGCTTTGTTTTGCATGCTTGCAATATAGAGGGCTTTGTTTAAAAATGATGAAATTATTATATTAAATGTAATATTATTTCACAGAATTTCACACATGTAGGTCCAGCTTTTGATAGTCCAGTTCACTGGGCTCTCGCTTGATTTGAGCCCTCAAGGATTCCTGTCCACGTCAGAGTTTTCTCTAGTGTGTAGAGCTTTTGTCTTTTCATGGATTACTGCAAAATACTTCAGGTTAAAGACTTTAAAAAAAATCAAGGCTCCAATTAAAAGCAGAAAGGGTTAATTCTGACCATCTGATGCCACACACGTTTAAAAATGGTTCTTTGTTGTATTTGTGGTTTCATGAAGAAATTTTTACGTCCATAGAATCTTTCCACTGCACAAAAAGTTCTTTATAGAGGGAAAAAAAAAAGGTCTATTCTGACTATAAAAATGTTCTTCGCAAGAAACAATGGTTCTTTTAAGAACTGTTCACTGAATGGTTCTTGTATGCTGTAAAAACACCCTTTTGGAACCTTTATTTAAGTGTAAGATCAACTTTTAAGTCAATAACTATTTATTCTCCAGTTATTTAAAGAATCAAGAAATCAAAACCTTGATCTGGAGAACCTGTAAAGTAGCTTCAGGAACGATTAGCCACTCAAACCCTATGCAGCAAAAACTGTTCTTGAGAAAAAGTGTGTTCTTTGTTAAGCCTAAGGTGTGCTACGAAGTAAGAATCTATGGAACAATCGTTATTGTTACACCCTTAAAAATAAAATTTAAAAAAAGTTCTTTATGGCATTTAAGGTTTCGTGAAAAGAACCATTAGCATCCATGGAACCCTGGATTTATTTTAGAAAAAGTTTCTTCTAAATATTAAAATTTTCTTCACACTAAGAAAAAACGGTTCTTTTAAGAACTGTTTGCTGAAAGGTTCTTTGGGAACCCAAAAATGGTTCTTGCATGGCATTGCTGTGAAAACACCCTTTTGGAACCTTTATTTTAGTGTAAGAGACACTTTTAAGCCAATAACTATTTATTCTCCAGATAAGTTATTTAAATCTTGATCTGGACAACCTGTAATGTAACTTCAACAACGATTAGCCACTCAAACCCTATGCAGCAAAAAATGGTTCTTGATAAAGGTCCTTGTTCTTTGTTAAACCTAAGATGTGCTACAAAGTAAGAATCTATGGAACAATCTTTATTTTTACACCCTTAAAAAAAAAGTTCTTTATGGCATTTATGGTTCCATGAAGAACCTTTAGAATCCTAGGAACCTTTCTATTGCACAAAACGTTCTTTAAATTGGAAAAGGGTTCTAAATGTTAAAATGTTCTTCACACTAAAAAAAAAATGGTTCTTTTAAGAACTGGTCACTAAAAATGTATTTGGGGAGCTTAAATGTGGCATCGTTGTTAAAGCCCTGTTTTGGAACCTTTTTTTTTTTTAGGAGTGTAGGAGCATCACTAATGGAGCTCTTCATGTTCCTGTGTGGTGTCAACACATTAAAGTGTTATCTTTCAAGCCATTTTTGAATGAATTTAAATTCTTTCAACCAAATGAGAATTTCAGCTGAAAAGTATTCCAGGAGTACTGTGTATGGATTGAGTGTGAAACAGTGGCAGGATGATGTGAATGAGGGTGTGAGCGTCAGATGGGCGAGTTGAGACGTCTGCCTGTGCTGCTCACTCATCTGCACCCAGTCATTTATGCTGCTCTCTCCTCTCTGTGTGTTTATGTTACTCATTTGCATAATCTCTCAGTGAAAGTGTGAGAGGAAGTTGTGCTGATGTTCTTGCATTAGTAAAATAGATACAGAGTTCTGGCATAAAACTCTAGATGGCGCAGTCCGATAGGTCTAATTCAATCTGACCTAATGACATCATTATCACATGGCACAGCTGATTGGTTCTCTCCTGTATTGGTAGCCAATGAGCTCGCTGCTCAACATTCAAATATATGACTAGTACTTGCCGTAGCAGTTGCAGCTTGCTTCAGAAACCCTCCACCTTCCCCAGCTCCACCTGTATAGATCTGCTACGAGGTGATTCATGTATGCTATATGGGGGTTATTTCATGGATGTTATATTTGCAGCAGCAGTATTTCTTACATGCTCACAGCAGCATTTTGTGGATGTATTGGCAGTAGCAAGTCTCAGTACTTGCTCTGCCGCAGCAGCAGCGTAGCAGATCTATTCCACCAAGACCAAATACATTAACATTGTCATGTACATTGCCATGCCAATTCCTCCGAGAGTGGTCATGACAGAACTGCAGTTAAACACTATATACACAGAGAAAAAAAAATACTATTACACTACTTTTACTGTAGATTTATGAGATTAGCAGGGAAATCACTTTGAGGGGTTTTTGTAGATTTTTCTGGAAATTGTAAACAAAGATACAGATGAATGATGAAACATTTGTAATGATAACTCAACACAAATTATGCTATGCGTTTATCATAGTGTTGATGAGTCGCATCCTTCAAATAATATTGTGATATATTATGATATTAACTTCTATGTTATGAGATTATAAATGTATCATCCACCATCCACCATCTTTAGCATCATATAAGAAATTGAGTTCTGAAAAAGTAATTTATATCGCTCTAAAATTTTTAAAAGTTGTTTATTTTTCTCACATTTTATCTGCAACTATTTGCTGACATTGATTTTATCTTTTGTGTAATGTTTGACTTTTTATTACTTCATGAAAATATATATACTTAATTATTTCTAAAATATTTCTTATTTGCTTCTCCAAAACAAAATACATTTCAACAAACAAGCAAACAAATGAAGTCGAGTATAAACAACCGAATTTAATGTTTAATAAATAATTCCAGTTTTTTTTTTCTTTCTATCCTTTAGGCAACTTTTTGAGTAGGGCTGCACAATTAATCGAATTTCTAATCGCGATTACAATTATGGATGCCACAATTACGTAATCGTTCAAAGCGGCAATTATTCGTTCAAAGTCCACTTATGTTGTTCTGCACGCTTAAGATGCATTTTTTTCTTTCTACATGTTATCTTAAGGGTTTTTCCATTGTTTTAATTTTAGTTTTCGTATAACATTATAATACCATTCATATTTTTACTTTTTTTTATAATTTAAAGAAGAAACCAATCCGATGTATAGTTCATTTTGAGGCTTAATACTATAGAAAAGCACTAAAAGTTTTTCAGTTAGAGTGTTTCAGCTTATTTATTTTCATATAAAAATACAGCATGTAGTTGCATCAAACAATGGTATAAACATCATTCAATGTAAATAGTGATAATCGGAATTAACAATCGCAATTACAATTTCAAGGGAATAATCGACAATTATGATTTTTGTCATAATCGTGCAGCCCTAATTTTAAGTAATGATGCTGGGCAACTTTGGGCAATGTTGCCATCGATGGGCAACCAGGTGAGACATCCAGACAGAAATTTGTTACCCATTCTCAATGGAAAAGTGCCCAAGCAACATTGCTCAAAAAAAGTTGCCCCGTGTATCATCAGCCTTAGGTTCAGTCAGCTATTTTGGTTTTACAGTTAGGTTTGTTTAATTCTGACACTGAATTTTATTCTAATATGATTTCCGACAGATCAGATGTCACTTGTACTATTTAAGTTAGACAACTATATAATGTAGCTTTATGGGAAACACTTATGATTGTATAAAGTGCAAAGAGCAAACATTCAGCAAACAGTGTTCATGATATTTATTCTGTTTCAGCACCTGGCATACAATGTCCCTTTCATAAAATCTGAATCACATTAATACAAGTCTGCACAAAGCAGGCTTGTACATTTGGTTTTTGAGGGAATATTTGGGATGTCTTTATAGTTTTAGACAAGCTCTTACATGCTTGTGAGTGTGTATGTGTGTGTGTGTGTGTGTGTGTGTGTGTGTGTAAGAGAAAGACCTCATCAGATGATATCTTCATTTATAATCCGATGACTTGTCTTCATCTATAAAGAATCATATTTTTAACATGTGTGGCCATTTAGTGTCATAAAGACCAATGTATTTCCATAACAGACCCAGGACCAAAGTGTTTTTTTAGAAATAATATGCCTTTTTTAAATCTTGGTTTCACTGTAAGCAGTGTTTCAAATGTTTATTTCTGTTATATATGTATATATATATATATATTTCTGCAGTACTCTCCGTTGCTCAAGAAGCTGTACTGTCAGATCGCCAAGACCTGTCCGATTCAGATCAAACTGGCTTCCTCGCCCCCAAACGGCAGCGTGATACGAGCCATGCCCATCTACAAGAAAGCCGAACACGTCACAGAGGTGGTCAAACGCTGTCCTAACCATGAACTCGGACGGGACTTCAATGAAAGTATGAAAAAATTCATTCTTTATTCAGAAATGCAACAATTTTTGCTGTTATTTGACTGTTTGTGTTGGTGGAAAAAAAAAAACATTTACATTTACATATGAATACTTTATATATGATCAGACGTGTGGAAGCATGTACAACTAAAAAAAAATCAACAGTTTGTTTAGATATTTGTTGTTTCAATTTGTTGACTTTTGTAACAATTATTGACCAAAATTCTTTCCCAGAATATTTAAACAGCAGCCGATTTAAAAGCATTTATTAATTAAACTCATTATTGAAACACACACCACTAACCTAACAAAATAGATTGTGATTGATGTAGTGACATTTTCTTTAACTGTTTTTATTTTTCTCAAAAATACGAGTTAATATTATTATACTAATAACATGATAAACATGAGGTTACATGAACAAAAGTCATTTTAAGTGTTAGATCATATAGGATAAAAAATCAAACAAATTCAGGTTACAACTTTTTAAAGTGTACTCTGATAAACTGTATAACTTGTGAAACCAGCTGTTATAGATACAACTATCTGTTCTAGGATCTGAACATGTTATGCAGCAAAATAGAACACATTTCAGAACTAGTGGACTGCTATAATATAAACTGTCTGATATGAATGTGAACAAAATACAGCTAACCACCATCATTTGACTAAAAACAACTGCCTACTAAAACCAGACTACCTGTCAGGGATTCATCACAGTCACTTCAGTCACCATCCAGGATAATTACCCGATCACAGTCACCTGAGTTCTGATCACCCGCACCTGCTGTCACCAATCAAGCCACACTACAAATACACACACAGCACAGTCACTCACTGTCCGGTCTACCGTTCACTCCTACGAACCGCTCCTGCGGTGAGTACCCTCCAACTAGACCCTGTCGTTTCCACGTTGTCTATGCTCTCGGTACAACTACTTACCCCAGAATGTTCTGTTTCATTCCCTGCCCTCGTCGACTCGGGCTCCTCGGGCAATTTCATATCCCAGGACCTATTTAATCGTCTCCATCTGCCCCGAAAACATCATGCTCCGAGTCGAGACCATCCAGGGAAAGCCGCTAGGACGGGGGTGTACAGTTGCTCAGTCTGCGCCATGTCCAAGATTCCGGCTGGAATACCTCGTCGACTGGGATGGGTATGGACCAGAGGAACATTCCTGGGTGACCAGGGACGACATTCTGGACCCGTTGCTTCTAGAGGACTTCCATCGATTTGCACTTACCTGTTGTGTCTGGCCTTGCTTTGTGACACTACCCTAGTGAAAAATAAATATGCTTAAATATATTTGAAATCATGGTAAGTATACTACAAATACATTTTCATATTTATGTACTTAATATGTTCTGCAATTGTACTTTTAGTGTACTAAACTGGTATACTTAAAGTCTGCTAAATTGGAACAACTACAGTAATTTTGTGCTTAATGCACTTTAATTGTGCAGAAGTAGTGCTGAAGTTCAACTAAAGATATACCAAAGTATATTGGATTGTATACTTCAAAATATACTTCAGGTACACTTTAAATATTTTGCATTTAAAGACCGATATTATTCAAATATCATACAATCCTCATCAGCGGTGACATTAAAACACATTTTAGGCTTAATATTAAGAAATGTGCATTGTGCACAAGTACGCCAAATAAAGTTTAATTATAATTTTTATACTAGTAAGTCTCGAGTTATCTGTCAGTAAATATGTTAAAAGATTTGAACTATACTTGGTATGAAATAAATGTATTTTATATATATTACTTAGGTTTCCTACTAAATGTTGAAACTGGTTATTGACATCCTGAAAATCCAATCCACCTTAGACTCTATGGTCAAAAATGAAAGTGTGGATATTTGGTTTTTTTTTTGTCATTTGTCTTCAGCTCATTCACTCATATTTAATTGACCAAATAACTTTCGAGTATTAAAGTAAAAATGTAAACAGATTGTCTTGTTTTCTGAAACGAGACATTGAATGTCGGGTCTTGTTTCCAATACATCTATTATTCTAAAGCTAAATTGTTTTGTGAGGTTTTGAACTGAAAATAAAGCTAACTCACACATTCACACTTGGTCTCTTTCACATGCCACAAACGGAAATATTCCTGTTGTCCTTCCACTTCTAATTCATAATCTTTCTTGTCCTGCTGTCTCTGTGCAGGTCAGACAGCTCCTGCCAGTCACTTGATTCGGGTGGAGGGCAATAATCTGTGTCAGTATGTGGATGATCCTGTGACGGGCCGACAGAGTGCTCTCGCTCCGTATGAGGCTCCACAGGTTAGTTCAATCATTGCATGTAAGTCCCAGTGTTGTTTTAGTGTTATTGAGATACCATTTAGTTTATAGGTTTTTAATATATATTTTAATATGAATAAAATATTAGAAAATAAAGCATTAAATGTTAATATTTATTTATTTTATAAAATCCATATTGTTCCTCACTCTCATGCTTCATATAACATGTTCTAGTGCTGTTTTAGTTCACATACACTTTGTACAATTTGTTCCCGTTGACAGCAAACAAGCATATTGTGAATTATTGCAGATCTATATGCATAAGTGCACAAGTATACATATTGTTTGATGGTAAAATGACGAGTCAAAGCATGCAGTGATCATTCAGTTCAGGACGCTAAACATGCTCTGACTGGCTATAAATAACCCAGAGATTATTCTCAGTTACAACACCTCTTTTTACACTGTAGTACACTTTGTTTTGTGTTGAATATCAAATGGTTGGCGCCACCTAGAGGTGCATATTTCTTTCATACTGTAAGTGCTGGTGTTCGATCAATAAATACACTGCTTTTTGGAACTGTTTCTTTTTAATAATTTATTGTAGTACACTTTGTTTTGTGTTGAATATCAAATGGTTGGCACCACCTAGAGGTGCATATTTCTTTCATACTGTAAGTGCTGGTGTTCGATCAATAAATACACTGCTTTTTGGAACTGTTTCTTTTTAATAATTTATTCAATGAAATGTATTAAGTGTACAAAAACAGTGATAAACAGCCGTTTTTAACTAAAACTGGATTAAAAAACGGGATTTCTTGAATATCAAAAAGGTCTCATTAGTCAACTTTTTATTAACGTTTAATTAGTTACATCATTAATTAACAATGAGCAATTTATTTGTTGCAGTATTTAATGATTTTTGTCAACGCTAGTTAATAATTATAAAACGGATAGTTCTGGTCCTTGATTCTGATTGGCTGAGCCGCGTTCGAAGCTGTTGTAAATTACTCTACAGTTACATCATTAATTAACAATGAGCAATTTATTTGTTGCAGTATTTAATGATTTTTGTCAACGTTAGTTAATAATTATAAAACGGATAGTTCCGGTCCTTGATTCTGATTGGCTGAGCCGCGTTCGAAGCTGTTGTAAATTACTCTACAAACATAAACCTTTGTTTACTTTGTGTGTTGCTCGGCAACCACTTTGTTGTTAACCACAACTGTTTCTGAGGAACTACATTGTTTGGTGGAAGAATACTGTTTTTATTAATATCATTACACTTTATTTGCTCTGTTTTATTCTGTGAAACCTTACTACGTATATGGAATAACCGTTTTATAAAAGCAATAAGCCCCGTGAAGCCGTGGTTTACAGTGAATTTATAACAGCCAAAAGTTTTAACAACGCCCCTTAGCTGTTATAAATTCACTGTAAACCACAGCTTCTTGGGGCTTATTGCTTTAAAATACAATGGTTCATTGTTAGTTCATGTGAGCTCAGATCCGTTAAATAATATGAATAGATATAATATTTAATTATTTGAATTGTATTATTAAATGTTGAATTTAACATTAACTACATTCATAATTAATGTAATTAATGTAAATTAATACATGCTTTGGAATTCATTTTCTTTGTTAGTTTTTAACATCAATTATTTATAGTAGTTACGTATTGTTAACAAATGTAACCTTATTGTAAAGTGTTACCCCCCAACCCCACACAGGATCCGGTGTTTCTGAATAATCTAAATTAATTTATTCAAGTGAATTTGACTTCTCAATGCAAATATTTTTCCCTGAAAAGGGTACCATATCCTCTATTTACAATATAATGTAATGCATCTGGAAACTGATTATGTCTCTCTTTTGTCAAGGTGGGGACTGAGTCCACAACCATTCTGTATAATTTCATGTGCAACAGCAGTTGTGTCGGTGGAATGAACCGCAGACCCATCCTCATCATCATCACGCTGGAGACACGAGAGTGAGTGAACACCATTACTTTTTTTCATACACACTTTTTCATTCAAGTTTTCTACAGCACATAATACACTGAAATCTTTCTCTGCTTCCAAAAGTGTGGTTCTTAAAGGGACAGTTCACCCAAAATGACAATTCTGTCATGATTTACTCATCCTGGAGTTGTTTCAGACCTGTAGGAGTTTCTTTCTTCTGCTGAACACGAAATAAGGTATTGTGAAGAATGTGGGTAACTAAACAGTTGTTAGTCACAACTGACTTCCATAGAATGGAATGGAAGAACGGAAGTCAAAGGGGACCAGAAACTGAAGAAAGAAGCTCAAATCAGTTTGGAACCACTGGGTGAGCAAATGATGACAGAATTTTAATTTTGGGTGAACTTTCCCTTTAAGTGGTTTTGATTCAGAACAACAACAGTAAACAAAAACGTACTTAGAATTGAGCATTGAAATGTATTCTTTTAATTGTGAACTGCATGACAACAACATGCAAACTATTCACACGACGTAGGCTGAATAGTTTGGTTATGCTAGAAGCTAAAGCTGAACTCTACCATGTTTTTGCTCAGCGGACAGGTTCTCGGCAGGCGTTCGTTTGAGGGCCGCTGCTGAACACAAAATAAGGTATTGTGAAGAATGTGGGTAACTAAACAGTTGTTAGTCACAACTGACTTCCATAGAATGGAATGGAAGAATGGAAGTCAAAGGGGACCAGAAACTGAAGAAAGAAGCTCAAATCAGTTTGGAACCACTGGGTGAGCAAATGATGACAGAATTTTAATTTTGGGTGAACTTTCCCTTTAAGTGGTTTTGATTCAGAACAACAACAGTAAACAAAAACGTACTTAGAATTGAGCATTGAAATGTATTCTTTTAATTGTGAACTGCATGACAACAACATGCAAACTATTCACACGACGTAGGCTGAATAGTTTGGTTATGCTAGAAGCTAAAGCTGAACTCTACCATGTTTTTGCTCAGCGGACAGGTTCTCGGCAGGCGTTCGTTTGAGGGCCGGATTTGTGCCTGTCCCGGTCGAGACCGCAAAGCAGACGAGGATCATTTCAGGGAGCAACAGGCTCTAAATGAGAGCGTGGCCAAAAATGGAAATGCCAATAAACGAAGTGAGCCATCAATGTATTTCCACAAGCACTTCATATCATATTCAATATAAGTTTCTTAGTTATGTTATCTGTGGTTATAACTGGAGCTTCTGTTTCTGATCTCACAGATTTCAAACAGACTCCAGCCAACATTACAGGCCCTTCCATCAACATCAAGAAGAGGCGACATGGAGAAGAGGAGATGTATTACAAGTATCTTTCCCCAACACTGGTAGTGTCACACCTGCCAAGTTGCTGAATACAGGTCTTGATAAGCACACATGGAACACATAGTCAATGTTCACTGTAATTTCATAACTGTCAGAACTCATAAATATCATAAAAGCCAGCTTAATCTCAGTAAATAGATTGGTAAACTGAGGAGGGGGCTTTGCAATGTAAATGTGAAAGTATATCTGCAATAACAGTACATATACGTTTGTTTTTTCACAAGAGGAAAATATATTCAGCTGTTCATAATATGACCTCTTTCAGCTCTTTCTTTAGCATCTAGTACTTCAGTGTTCCACATTGAGTGCCGTATATTAATTATATTCCTCTCATGTGATTGACAGGAGTCATGTAGCCTCTCCGTGTTCATATAGCACACTCAATAACATGAATAAGACCCACGGGCCCATCAGCAAGCTTCCCTCAGTGAATCAGCTCGTGACACAGCAGACTCAGCAGAGCGCAGGACCCTCTGGGTCCATGTCACATATGGGTAAGAGCCTACACAACATTTCAGTGCCTTTATATAAACTGTACATTTCATACAATTACCTTGTTGACAAAACTGCCAGTGGGTTGTAAATTAGGGGCATTTTCCAGCTATATTTATTGGTCATGAAATTTAAGTTTGCATTATTTCACATCTCTCTCTCTCACACACACACACACACCCACACACACACACACACACACACACACACACACCGAATGTAATGTTTTCAGACACTTAACTGTTATTAATTGCAATGAAATTAAAATGTATTATAGTTTAAATGGTCACACTTAATTTTACACACACACACACACACACACACACACACACCGAATGTAATGTTTTCAGACACTTAACTGTTATTAATTGCAATGAAATTAAAATGTATTATAGTTTAAATGGTCACACTTAATTTTAAGGTCCAATTCTCACTATTAACTAACTAGTAACTATGATTTTTGGCCCAATAAACTCCTAATTACTGGTTATTAATAGTAGGGTGGTAGAATGTTACGTTTAGATGTTGGGTAGGATTAAGGGATCTAAAATATATGTAATCATGTAATCCATTAAAAAGTAACTGTAATCTGATTATTAGCATTTTAAAATGTAATATAATTAATTACAAGTACTTAATTTTTGGAATCCGATTACGTAATCCAGACTACATTACTACCCAGCACTGTTCATAGCTTTTAACTTTTAGTGACTTTTTTAAAATCCCTATTGGAAAAATGAATGGAGAACAGGATAAAAATGTTATTAAAACTTTCAATATCAAATATCAAACACACACACACACGGTTCAAATTTAATAAAGTACTTCTCATGTGTCCATGTAAGTGTACTTCTTTAAAGCATGGCAAAAATGATTAAAATATTGATTTAAAATGTGCTTTAAAGTAAAACCTCTAATTTGACAAAGTGCACTTTTTAAAAGTGTGCTAAGAAACATGAAAGTGTCTCTCTTTAAGTACACTTAAGTGTCCTTTTATTTCAGTAATAATATATTATCTGCAAATACACCTCTTTAAAACTGTACTATTAAGATTTGAAGTACACTACAAGTGCATATTCAATACACAATCTTGTTTTTCGCAAGAGCACCTGTTTGATTTGCTTTGCTTTCACTGAATAAAAAGCGAGACACTACCAATGACATCTGCACCGACAGTGGCTCATATTAACTTCGCTAAATCCCATGTGATGCTCATCTGTTGATTTGTGTGTGTTGACTGGTTCCCGTGGGTTTGTGGCTGCAGGTACGAACATGCTGGGCGGACACCACATGCAGTCGAACGGAGATGTGAATGGAGCTCATGCGTCTCAGTCTATAGTGTCCACCTCTCACTGTACCCCTCCCCCACCTTACAACCCTGACCCCAGCCTCGTCAGGTACTACACCCTGCAGTAGCACCAACCCGACACACACACACATGATCTACAGCTGCTTTTGATCATTTTAAAGGGGTCATATGATGCTATTTTAAAGATCATTATTTTGTGTATTTGGTGTAACAGAATATGTTGACATTCTTTAATGTTAGCATTATGTTAGCATTATATACACTTTAATGTTCAAAAAACACATTATTTTTCAAATACTGTACATTATTGTAGGTCCTCTATGCCCCGCCTCTCTCAAACACATCGTTTTCAACAAAGCCCCCTCCTTTGACAAGCACAGTCTGCTCTGATTGGCCAGCTGACCCAGTGCATTGTGATTGGCCGAACACCACAAGCAAAAATGTCAGGCGCTCTTCTTAAAACGACCAGCTGGTGGCGCTTGAGAATGCTTTGGTGGCACAGCGTTTTTCCAGCTCTCTATTTGGTTGTTATGATGTGGAATATCCACGGCAGTACATTTTGAAGAATATTACTAAATATAAAAATGCAGTAACCAGCAATGTTAACTTCTCTATTGTTGTTCAGTAGGATGATTGGTCGGTGTAGTATTTGTCCCGCCTCTTGTCCTATTTGTCCACTGATTGGACGGTATGGGTACAAAGTGACAGTGACAAGCACTGCGTTTTCCCCGTGCGGCAACCTCCCGCTCTCTCTCGTGAAGCCAACAAGGAAGTGACTTAAACTGTAATTCATCAACTGGCCGCTAGAGGCTGGCTGCAAAAAGGAGTCAATCCCATAGACTCCCCATGTTAAATTGCCCAACTTTACAGCAGAAAAAAACATGTTTACAGCCTGGTTAAAAAATGATTTTGGTCTATATAGCTAATTTTGCACTTGATGACAACTGTGAGGGGGGTGACTTTTTTCATAAGTCATCCGTTTAAATTATATTAAGCCTTAAAGTTCTGCATAATTAAGGGCGTGGCCACTTGAGTGACAGGTGGATTGCCACTGCTGTCACCACCGTCAAGCTAGGTGGGCGTGGCTTCAGCAACCTGCTCCCGCCTCTGCCCATTTTCGTTTTATCCGGGAGTGACGCGCGGTGACGCTGCCAAGATGGCGACGGCCGGCTCCACCCACTTTTGAGCTTCAAAAACGCTCTTTAGAAACCTACGGGTGACGTCACGGACACTACGTCCATGTTTTTATACAGTCTATGGTTTTACCCAAAGCTAAACAGTTTATCAACTCTCAGCTAAAAAAAAAACAAAAACAAAAAACCAGATCAAACTAACTTTTTAACAATATTATGATGGCAGTGCATCAAAGTTCAGTGTCATCAGTTTGCCAAAAAGAACACAGAACGTTTTACGCACCATTTACACGTGGCAGGGAGCAGGTGTACATTTCTTTGGTCCCAACTAACATTTTGAAAATACGAACACTTTCATGAATCTGAAAATTTACGTCAGAACAGCTTTACGAACGATTTACACAAACATTTATTCTGCTCGTGTTTCATGAATGAGGCCCAATGTAGTTTTGCCTGTTGCTACAAATATACCTGTGTTACTTCAGACCGGTTTTGTGCTCCAGGGTCACATTTGTCTTTACATGGTTAATCATGGAATTACGGTATATTGATGCTTTTTCTTTTGTGCTAATACACAAAAGAGGATTTCGATTATAATGAAACCTTTGCTTTTAAAGAGGCTTTTGGTTTCTTTTTCAGACGTAGTAATTATTTGTACATAAGAGTAAGAACTTTCTAAATATTTCTCTGCTGGTCAGAGAAACATTTTCAAATCACACTTTAGTGTGCAAGACATGTAAGCCTTTTTCATTTATTATACATATTCAAATGTTAGCCACTCTCTGTGTTTACTTATTAACACACATTACTGATCACATGCAGCCGTTTAGGGGGTGGCGAGGTGCCTTTCTGATTAATGGCCTGTGCAGTTTCATCATTTGGGTGAATCTCGCAAAAAAAAAAAACATGTCTGGTACACCCCAAAATCAAAAATATTAGATATTATATTTTGCTTGATTGGATTTAAGCACCATTTAAGTGTTTTTTTTTTTGCACTGTAACATTATTTTCATGACAATTAAGCTAATTTCCCCTACAGATACACATTACTGTCATAGATTTGGAGTTTCTTTCTTTTTTTCTTTTTTTGTAATTCTCATTATTCTTAATAATATTAATTAATTTTATTACTTTATTATGATCATTAATTATTATTAATATTATTATTAATTTTTTTATAATATTAAAATGTTATAATATTATTTTTTTTATAATATTATACATTTTAAGTAATTTTATATTAAATAAAAAAGTAATTTTCAATTTTCAGCTATAGTAGTTGTTTTTCAGTATTTTTTTAATTAAATAAGCATAAAAAATTGAAGACAGCACAACAAATACTTGTTTATAATTTAAATAACGTATCTTCTTTTTATTTTTATTACAGATATGAGAATTGGTATAATAATTAAAATGTTTCATATAAAAATGTGTAATAAAATAATGTCATCAAAATTGTCAACTAAAAAAAAATCTTAATGGTGCTAAAAATATTTAGTTTCTTTCAGATTGAAATATGACACTGTATAACACGTTCTAGACAGGTTTTTTGAGATTTTCCTTCACCCAGTTATCTGTTTACATTATTTACCCAGTTAATCGCATTGTCATCTGTGCTACTTTGTCAGTCATAAGTCTTATATATTGGCACCTTGAGGGATATTTATTTTTAAACTAGATGTGTCATTTTCCATGCACATTGCAATGTTTTACAGACTCCATTGTCACAAATTTGATTATTAATATCAATGTTCCCTCTACATTTAATACTTAATGTATCAGGGTGAAATTAAAAGTCGGCGTCTATAATTATGACAAAGCAACCAATGTTTCTGAATCCATGTTTTGTTTATAATGGCTTAATGCAGAGGTTACGCATACCTTCCTACACATACTTGTGGTTCTGTGTGTCTCAGTTGCTCTACCTTTAAAATAACTCTGTCGGCTTTATATTTACAACATTTCCTGTTTTGATTGTATCAAGCAAATCCTTTTTTATTGGTGAAATATTTATAATAAAAAGATCAATGCAATGAAAAACTTGTTATGCATCATTAATGTAATTGCATGTTGTGATTGCATTTTTATTTGTAAAATGAAATCATATGCAAATTTTGAAATGTTAATACACAAACATTTGCATGCAGCATTTCATTTAACTACACTACTGTTCAAAAGTTTGGGGTCAGTAAAGCTTTTTTTAAGAAATTTTTATATTCGGCAAATATGTATTGATAAAAATGTGACGGAAAAAAATATTTACATTGTAAAAAAAAAAAACTTATGAACTTTTTAACCAGCAAAGATTCCTGTAAAAAGGATTAATGGTTTCCACAAAAATATTAAACAGCACAACTGTTTTCAGTCATCTAAATAAGAACTATTTGAAATAAGAGTGATTTCTGATGGACTGGAGTAAGGATGCTCGAAATTCAGCTTTGCATCACAAGAATTAATTACATTTTTAAATATATTTATGTAGCCTATTCGAAAAAATATAAATCGATTTTTGATCAAATAAATGCAGTCTCAGTGAGAATGCGAGGAATAAAAATCTCACCAAACTTTTGAATGGTAGTGTATATTGCATTCACGTCTAGCCCAACGTTTCATCATTTTTTAAACTGGTATTTGTACCATCACTGATTTAATCATGATTATGATTACAATACAGATGCTTTATTTGAATCAAGTATTCTGAATACACTCATATGATCTCATATGATGGTAAAAATCCCTGTGCAGATGCAAATGCAAATGCCGTGGTGCTTGGCTTGTTATGTTCTCCATGGGTGAATATGTAATTCACAGGACGCAGCCGCTTGGTCTTAGTGGGATTCCTTTTCTCTCTGAACAGTTTCTTAACCAGCCTGGGCTGCCAAAACTGCATCGACTACTTCACGTCACAGGGACTCCAGAGTGTCTACCACCTTCAGACTCTTTCCATGGAGGTAAACCAACAGTTCAGTCAATACACT